CATCGAAGATGTGACATTATAAAAATATATTTTGTTAGGAAGAAACGTAGACTACAATTAAATAAACAAATTAAAATAAATTATTGGTAATTTTATTCAATTACTCTTATAAGAAGGTATGTACCAAGAAGCCAAAAATATTTTTCTCCCATTGTTGTATATGCAGTAGCCTCGTGAAAAGATTATTAAGTGTATCGTGAAGGCAGATAGGGATAGAAGATTGAGAGGAAAAAATTAATAGTTAAGCTGTCTTAAATTTACTTTTGTTTCACGAAGAAAATAAAGTTCATGCCAAAATTGCTTACACAACTATAAATATCAAGTAAATAGTTAAAATGACATGAAGGAAGTTTATTATAAAACGAAACAAAAAAACATCTTCTGACTTATTTCAGTTATTTTTCTACTATTTAACTAGCAAATATCACTTTAAACAACAATTATTAATTGAAAATATATTCGCTACTTTTTCATCACGAACCTAATTATCATATATTTATTATTGCTATTAAATACAATTTTTTTTTTATTTAAAACGTAAACAATAAATTATTTTTTATTGTCATCAAAACTATGCTGTGAGCATCGAACATTTTGAAAACAATTTATTATATAAATTAAAACTTTAAAATAGAAAAACAAAAAAGGAACTTCTTTCGATAAGGAAGTAATAAAAAACTCTATCACTCTAAAATCAACAGAGGTTTCAATGTATATATACCAATAAAAACAATAGTTTTTTTTAGGGAACTTAAAAATACCCATTTCATCACTAGTGCATAAGGATTCTATCTTATACAATTATCGAAATATTTAGTATATGTTAATTAACATTTCAACTGCATCATTTATTTGTAAATAAAATCTACATATACATCACTTTTTGAAATTAACCACGGATAACTTTATGCCAAAAAGATTTAAATATAAAGATATTTTGTTTGAACTTATTAACGAGCTACAGTACGGACACACATCATTCTGTACCTCTTTAGGTATGTACCTAAACTAACATACAATTATTAATATTATTTATCACTAAACTTACAATATTGTTATTATTATATTTGATAATTATTTTTAATTATTATTATAAAATATTTATATATATTGTAATATAATATTATTTACATACATTTTGTTTGATAAAAATGAACTTTTTGAGTGAAAAAAATTATATTTTTATCGAACAATTATTTTTTCAATAGACCTCAAATTCGTTAAATAGAAGTTCGACTGTATACATATTTAGCTACGTGTACGACACATGAGTGCGACAAAGCGAGAACGGATCCGTCACCAGTGGCTACTATGATACACATTTGTCGCCTTCTCCCAGCAAACTGCCGATGATTGTGCCGACACGTATAAGTAGGCGGCGTTCGATTGTATTAACATAATATCATTATCGGTGACGTTTACACACAGCTCACTGTACTCGAAACACACCCGCCGTTGAAATGTAACAAACCTTATAAATTACGTAACATAGGACAATACGTATGATTCGAATGTAATATTGACGAAAATAAATGTTTCCCGGGAAAAGCAGGTCCAACGTTTATATTGAAGAGTCTACAGTAATGTAGACTGTTTGGGTAAGACGAAGGAGCAGATATCCGCCGAGAGTCACTTGATAGCATAGAGTATCGAATCGATACGCTAAAAATGTATAATGATTGTGCATTGACTTGAAGTTTCCAAGCCTCTTCAATATTATTTTATGTAAAATTAAGTGTTCAAAGAAGTGCAAGAACTGTATAAATAGGCATTTTTTTAGTAGGTATATAAACTATTATTATACAATAATTTAAACGTTTTTAAATTAATTTATTCCAGTAAATTCGTTATATTTTTCATATTTAAAATATTTCATAAGGATAATATTAGTTATATATTTTTTTATTGACTTATGGTCGAAATGTAATAATTAAAAGTTAGTCTCAACAAAAAAATAATTATACGCAGACTGCAATCAACAATGATTGGTTTCTAATATTAATAAATCTTTCAAAAAACAATGTTCTATTGTTTTTTTAAAAACATATAGATTTTTCAAAATTAAATAAAATGAAATAATACTTTATAAAAAATCTTACATATCTGAACAAGTCGTTCATTATTAATGATAGGATTTTGTCGAAGAAACTTAAAACGGAATAGTTCTGAATTCTTTGACCCTATACGATTCCATCTAAGATGATAGTTTTCGCTGAAATATAATTGTGTAATACAATTGGTGCAACAAAAATTTTGGTTTGTACAATTAAACTATTATATATACATATATATATACTCATATATATAGGTATATTAACCTATATATCATATTTGTATTCATAAAACGCGCATGTTGCCGAATGAATTTACGTGAAACTGCGATGGGCGGCTTTCGCTCGCATTAGAACTGAATAAAAATAATTTTTTGCAAAACGAAAAAAAATAAAATAAAATGAATACATGCATAAATGTATAGGTAATATGTTATTTCGTTGGAATCAAAATAATATTGCTCGGGACGTCACGTGCACGCCAAGAATTAAAAACGGATTCGTAGACCCTTTTTATTTTCATGCGATACGCAGCAGTGGTGGTGCACCGCCGCACCGATGTCGCGAAAGCACACGGTCAACGTATGAGAATCGCAAAATCACTATAGGTAAAATTTAAGTGAACACCGTCCGAACAGGATTCGCCGACCGATTTCGAGAAAATCGAGCTGCCGCCTCGGGTCGCGTTGAATCGGTTTGATAATGTTACATTCTTGTGCTATCGCGTCTCCCACTGGCCGTGTCCAGCGAATATGCGAATGTTTGCAGCGGCCAAGAGAATATTATTGTTGTAATTATAATTATTATTATTATTACGTACATGATACGCAATAATACTAATCACTATTAATAATTGCCTCTGCAATGATATCAGAAATATTTTCGTTAGTGTTTTTAAACGAGAAATCGATCGTGTGAAATACAACACTTCGCTGTAGAAATCTTATATCTTTAATCGTTTACTTATCGAACTTGAAATTCAAATACCTACCATACTTCTATGTGTAAACAGAAAACTTGGATTTTGTCATAGTACTTGTTCTATTATAAAGTTATTATACATTAATACGCAATATTAAGGTAGAAAACTACTAGTTTAAAACTTACATTATAAGACTGTTGACTCACGTCTCATCTAAATTTGTTAATTAGCTTTGTTCAAAATAAGCAGTTAATTTATACGAGATATTTCCTCTTAAAATATATACGCACCACCTCAACGTTTATAAGGTTCAAAATTCGTTTTGTTATTAAAACATTTATTTACATTTTAATCCATCCTCAAAATTAATTATCTAGAGCAAACTTTACATTTTTTTCTTAGAGGCATTTCGGTTACATGGTTATACGAAACCATGGCAATATTTGAACAACAAAATTTACCAATACGACTAAAAATTGATTCTAGCAGGTAAGAATATTTATTAAATATAATACTTACTTTATTCGAATTCTAATTTAAAACCATTATTGCTTAACATAAAATAATAATTTTTCAGGGATAATAGAAACGCTCTTGTGATAATAATTTACTATTTAAATTCAATCCCTAATTTAATAATAACTACCATAACATTAAAACGACTAATATGCTCGACAAAGATAATTAAAACCTAATTATGAAATATTTATTAATCTAACCATAAATCAGATTTTGTTTCTATATTGAAAGGAGTAAATCACCCATTTTTACTTTAATGTAAAATAACATGATTGCACATTTTAATACATACGATTTCATAAGACAACGAGAAACTGTAGTTAATTTATAGAATTCTGTAATTTATACTATATGTATCATATTATAGTTCTCAGAATTTAATCGTTCATGGGAACGCGATTCGCGAAAACCACCACTTGTATTAAGGTATTCTAAAAGGATAATAATGTTGTACGTCAAATGTTTTCGATCATCTCTGTATTTTGTTGATTACTCTTCTTGTGAAAAAATTGTGACCTAAGACGAATGTGGAACACTCAAACGGAAAGAAAAGACGAAATCGATATTATAAGTATAATATTATCTAGTTATTTTCAAGTACCATAATTTGCACACATAAAATGGGTCTTTGCAGTCTATTCCGATCGATAAGGATACATCCCGCCGAGGACCTACGCAGCATAATAACGATCTCCAATCGAATCCGACCTAAACGTGAGTATACAAATATATAACATTTCAATTTAAAAGTGTAGTAACAAGATTTTAAATTTAAAAATAATAAAAATTGTAACGCTGCAAAATTTCCGAGATAAAAAGAACCACATTTGAAACATTCTTTCGATAAAGGCGTCAATGTTATTATTGTCACCATCGTAAGTATTTTTCATTACATTTGAATACACTTCATATAGGTACACATAACCAAATCGTTGGATAGCTCATTATGAATAATATGTCAAGCGGTTGCAGTTGTAATCCAAAGCATCATACAAAGTGTAGGAACAAATGTATAGCAGACAATGAAACTCATATCATCTATTGCTCGAATCGCCCTTAAGCACACAAAATATAATATTGTAAAGGTAAATGACAACGCCAAACACGTAGGTTAGGTAATCGAGTTCGATTCTGGAATAATACCAAGAAATTACAATAATACTACCATTTTTATTATTCTCAGAGATTTAATTATTTTTACTTGTTAATAGGTTTATTTATCTGTTGTATGTGATAGTTGTACACTATTTTATAAAAATAGGAATAATTTAGGAATATTTTCGTTTTTGTGGTAAAGCGGCCATACCATAAAAATGTATAACTCTATAACTATTATTGAACTTTATGCACACCGTTGAGTGTCGAATACGAATTCAGGAACGGGTTCGTCGGATATCTAGAAATCAACGGACAACAGAAATAGTAATAATTTCATATACTTCTGTGTATATACCTACTTATGTAGTTAAGTTAGTCTAATACACAACAAGCGAAACGTGAAAACTTACCTACTTCGCGGAGGTGTCTATCCCCCTGATCGGTGGATTCAATCGCGATCGTCGGCTGCGGACTAAACTGCCATGTAGGATTTCGGACGCTTGCCGTTTTCCCGACAGGGCCTTTGAGGAGCAGAAGAACGTAACGCCGACTTACATGGTGATATTCTTCGGTTGAAAAATCCGACGGCGGCCGAAGTAAACAATACGAATTGCGAAGGGAAAACGAGACACTCGATTACAATGGAAACGGCGATGGACAAAAAATCGTATTCGTAAATCGAAAACGCTAAGCGCACCACCATTCGCAACTGCGGACCGGTCGACTACCACCACGAACGGACTGCGTACACAGCGACGGAGCAGTACGTCGAACCGAACGGCGAAAACTACGAAACCAGACCGACACCGATTGGAAAACGTCCGTCAACCCGCCACCGCCGTCGACGTATACCTCCACCACGATCGTACGACGTGTAGATATATAGTCGCACGCTCTTTGGCCGCAACCGCGGTCACTGTCTGCCACCACCCATCGCCGTTGCCCCGCACGTCGCACAGTCCAGAGCACCGGCGCGATCGTGCGCGTGCGCGCGCGCGACCGACGCGTGTTGCCGTAGTGGTGTGCGACACACGCACGAGCTGGTGCCGGTGCTCACGATGATCGCCGTCCGGTATAGATGACGACGAGGTGGGTGCGGGTCAAAGAAACGATCGTGTTATCTTTTTCTTTTTGTCCTCATCGCGTGTATTATTATTGTTCCTTCTCCGAAACGTATACTGCTTATACGTGATAAGACCGCTATCCCGATCGTGCAGTTTCACGCGTGTAGAGCGCGCCGCGGTGCACCACCACCAACACTAACACTCTTTTCTTATTAAACAACTATACGCATAGCGGTCACCGCTGAGCGGTGGTACCCATCGATAACCGGTCCTCCGCGGGTGCACGAGAGGGAGGAGCGAGAGAGAACAAGCAATGAGCACACCGGGCAACAGACGTCCGAGTGCGGCCGAGTGTTCGGAGAACGATGCGCCCCCGCCGCCGCACATCGTGTGCACGACACAATCACCGGGGCCGTGGACGCACTCCGTACGTTCCAAATGTCGCGGCCTCTTCCCGCGGGTTTTCAGACCGGACTCTTTGTGGCAAAGGGCCAAGGACGTGTAACTACCGCGTTTAAAGCCGTATCGTGTATACCGCGGTGGTTGTTTTCGTTTTATTTTTTCGCCGCCCTCGCAGCGTCAGTATACTGCTGCACACACGCCTTAACGCTGTTCAGGATGATTGCAGTGACGATCTCAACTCGCGTTCAAAGCGTCGGTTTATTTGTTTTAATGCGTCTTTTGAGGGCAACGGTCGGAAAGCGATTTATCACCGTGTTCTGTACATCCGTGTGGGAAGCGTAGAACGTTTAATGTGTTCAGAAATATTGACTACAACATCATGGGACGGAACACGCAGTGCGTACAATCATTTTTAATACTTTATTATGCACGATGGCTCGCACATTGGTTTTGCGCCAATGGAGAAAGGAAGAAAAATGGCCTTCGGGGCCAATACTTATTAAAGGTAAAATAATTGAAAAATATGACGTGGAAATAAGGTCTCGTCGTATAGATGTGTTCTTAGCCGGGCGACGCTGGTGCCGTCCGAAATGTTTTCGATAAATGAAATCGTCGAGGAGGGAAACGGATGACTAAGTGAAAAAAGGGTGGACATGCAGCAAAACGAATCGTTGTTTACTAAAAACTATTAAGAAATGACGTCATAATATTTAACATCAATGTTATATCGTAGTGGGTATAATGTGTATCGTACGTCGAACATATTTCGATTTTTTTACCTTCATGTGATTGAAATGAAAACAACAAATATTATTCACAATAACGACGTTTTAACAGTAATACATTTTTAAACGTATCGTTTTCGATCACCATAGTTTTGTCACAAAATTATAATCAAATATAATTACAATCGAAAAGCCTGTTTCACGTATATATATATATAGTAATATAATTTATATTTTGACGACGCGCAGTATGAATATTTTTTGGTTTGGTAGTATTATGGTTAGTTTTTTGTAAAACGTTTGCTTCTACAGTATTTTAGCGGTCGGGACGAACACGTCTGCTCGTGTCGTTCATACACGTAATGTTTATTATCGTTTTATTAATTTTGAATATTTTCGGTCGGACGTACAACAACGATACAAAACACGAACTATAACACTAAACCACAGTGTATAACTTTAAGTGTACAATTGAGCGTGATACGGCATACCGTATTAAGACAACACGTAATACGGATATAATATTATTATAATAACAGCGGCGGCCGCGGCGCCGTTTAATAATAATACTAATAACAATTATAATTTGTACAATTACAATAATGATCATAACAGCGTACGGATAAAAAGCGGAGCGATACGTCGATCGTGTGCACCGAGGTGACGGACACGGTGGCATGTGCTGATGGGCATGTCAATATTTATGGTACACGGCAGCGGCCGTCGGCGGCGGCTAGCGGCGGGGGAGATTGATAACGCGGAAGAGGGTGGATAAAATTGGTCGTACACGGAGGTGTGCGTGTACCAGGCGCATCGCGTCTCGCGCGCGCCAACTCTTCAGTAGTAACCGTAGAAGTGCTCGTGCCGGGCCGCCGTCGCCGCCGTAGTACGTCGCGTCCGTTCCGTAAGCGCGCGAGCCGGTCGTTCCGTCTTCATCGTCGCGTTCGCGTTTACGCACGCGCTTTGTACAATCGTTTCGTTTTGCTTCCTGTATTTTTTCGCCGTTTATATATTCTCATGATTTACTTTTCCTCCGCGTTATTAATGTTATAGCGATCCGCGTAGGTGTGTACGTAGTCGGCTGTTGCCGCCGGCGATTGTTCGCTTTGGGTTTTCGAACCACTACCGTGCGAAACAGATACGAGCAAATAACGGCCAAAATCGTGAGTATTCGGTATGAGATTATCTTTTTATTTTCTCATATTTTCTGTGCACCGTGATCGTCTTTTTCGTCGGTCGAATTCTTATACTTTTCCAACGAACCGATGTCGAATTTGAGAAAATCATTGAAAAAACGACGGATCAACAGGCTGCGGTTTTTTAAATCGTTGAATCCATCTAATTGAAATCGTTTACTATTAAACTGGTACTTTATATCCTCACCGGATTTGTTGATGATTTGGGGAAATATTAAGATTTCATTGTTGAAAATCGACTCGTTCAATGACACAGTATCACGGCAGCGGTGTTGAAACTGAACTCGGTAATCAGTTTTACTCAGTCACATGGACCGATACGATTGAAACGCGTTGATCGTATTGTTAATTAATAACTCTCCTATTTCGCTCGTATCCAAATCGCCCATGGACTTTGTGATACGTACACGAGCAGAAAAAAAGAGGCCACGCAATAGTGTTTTTATCATAAATTAAGGCTAGTGATAAGATATGGATATATTAACCTACGTTAGACGCATACATAAATATAAATATATGGTGTTTATTGTAACTTTATTTTCAACCAGAATAACTCCTTTTATACTGATGGGTAATATTATTTCTTTCAGAGGATAACATGTGGATAACAATTGTCAAACGGTGTTAAGCATTAAGGAGACAAGAGAGACGCCATGAAAACGAGAGGGTTCGTCTTGTTGATCCACATCTTGGTAGAATTATGGCTTACCGTCGATTGTTCCAAGTTCACCATAAACGAACTGCTCAACTCGATTTACCCGAAAAAAACGTCTAACGATGTCGATTTAGACCCTTGCAAAGCCGGTAAGTAACGATGTTGAAAAAAAATGTGAGAGAAAAAACCGAAAAGGAAGCTACATTAAATTATCTATATATATATATCCCACGGGGCCAGTGATTTGGTTCACAAACGCTCGTTGGGGTGCCGTTTGACACGTTTCTTAAATGCGCTCGAGGGGCAACATTTCTTTTGCATTCGAAGTTTTATAAGTAGTATTTTCGGTGTAGTTTTCCGTACCCCTAAAAAGGTCGAAATTCTGTTGAACTATGTTTTGAGCGGTGAAAAAATGATGAGGTAATATTCTTTTCTCTGGATAATTGGTGTAGAACTATTTGCCACTGGACTTTGGTCATACAAATACAAGTTGTTGAACTCTATTAAGGGTTTTGTGTATAAAATTGCATGCAATATTATTTCGATTGTTAATCGCTAATGATATTATTAATTATAAATCGAATTGTAAATTATAAATGGAATTTAATTATTAATTTAAATTGAAATAAGTAGTGCATTACACCTAAGAACTGAACATAGTACAAAAATATAATTTCAAATACAGTTTTTATTAGATTAAATTAAAAAAGTGCCTAATATATATACTATTAAAAGAAAAAAATATTGTAGTATATAAATTGTCAATGATAATTATTTAGTAAAATCGTGTAAATAATGTTGGTATAAATCCACAAATATAAAATAAAATTAAGTAGTTCCAACTTAATATTAATTTCTATTTATTAAAAATGTTTATAGCATGTACTACATATTGTCTTGTAACACCTAAAATAGTTAAATATGTGTCAACTAAAACTTTAACATTTTTTCTAGAAAACGGAATTAATTTTCTTAAAATATAGGTATACAACAACATTTTAATTTGTTAGTTTGATACTCGGATAAGATCTTTTAAAGCTTTTTTTTTTTTTTTGTATCTTTTACATACATTAAAATGTTGTATTAAAAATATTTGTTTCATACGACATTTCCTCTGCAATTCCAAGTTTGATTTAAATTGACTGATGCTTCACTTAGAACTAAAAAATTGACAAATTAAACAGTTTAATATATTATAAACCTTGCAAATTATGTTTATGGATGCGTATACAAATTTAACTAAAATAGTAATATATATTAAATTATAAAAGTGTTTAATACACTTATAAATTATGTATATATATATTTTCAATATACACCTAATACGATTAATTTATCATTTATTTACTGCTTGATAATATTTTGAAAATAAATCAAATAGTTAAAGTTTGCTTCATTTTAAAGGATTAATAAAAAATAAATCTATGAAATTTAATACATAATTATAATATTACATTCATTTTACACAGATCTACCTAATTATTATATAATTAAAATATTTTTATTATTATCTATAAATGATCTACATTCAAATATAAATACGAGTATATTCTTAACCTTTCAAAAGCTGTTATGTAACAGATGATTGTTTTATACTATTTGTGATCTCAATAATTTCTCATTGAAAATAAATAAATAAATGTGAAAAGTGATATCTAATACATTATTACGTTTAATATAAATAATAATTAAAAAGAGCTATATACGTGAATAAAATGTATGGAGACCATTATTTTATAATAAAAATATTTATACATTTATCACATGTATTTATACATGTGAGTTATACTATGACTATACAGAGTCGCATTCATTATAGTTACATATATATTTTAAGAATAAGACATTAAAACATACATTGAAGTTTGTTTTTAGAATGGCCTTTGTTTGAAAGTATTACCAAATAGACATTTTTTATTGCTCAGTTTAATTATCATCATGAAATGTTGCTTATGAAAATAAATATCACCGTGAACCGTTTGGTTAAGGTTTAAGAATATCCTTGCATTTTTTAATATTATAGTGAATGTATCTAACTATGTATTATTTACTATATTAAAATTACATAGCTTGTCAATCATTTTGTACACCTAATTTTGATTAAAATTGAATTAATTAATTGTACTCAATCGTATAACTTTTAATATTATGTATTTGTATTATACGTTATTGTAATAGAGGACATCAATTTGTTTCGTTAATTCAACAAACATAATGATGAGTTTAAAACCAATAAGATAAATGGTAACTGTAGGCAACTCAATTTTTTTTTATTTATTTTACAAAAAACAATTTTATCCTTCATTAAATAGTTTTAGAAATGTGACATCTTAATGCAAATGTAATTTATAACTATTATTTGAGTAAAATAATACACAATTTTCATTATTCTCTATATAATGATTATAATTTCCAACGTTTAAAATCAAAATATAAGGAATTACAATTCATGATTTCGAACAATTAATACAAGTGTATTACTTTTTATTTATTTAAAAATCATTTTATATTGTAAATATGAGTATTATGTATTTAAAACAACGAAAACAATATAATAGAAAGGTTGTTGCATATTCTTGAAAATTAAATTTATATTTTATTATTCTTTTCATATTTTATGAATAGAAACAGGAGCGGACGCAGAAAAAAATTTCAGGGGGAGGGGTTTGAAAAAATAAAAATAATTAGCGTCAGGCCCGTACTTAAAAATTTAGCGCCCCCGGGCATATTATTTTTTTAGCCCCCCCCCCAAAAAAAAAAATAAATAATAATAATATAACACATATTATTTCGTCCATAATCGAGATTTTTTAATATTAAAATATAACTTATAAATGAGATTAAACAAATTATAACATAATAAAATATACTATTTTATTTTTTTAATTGTTTTATTTTTTTTTCATCAGGTACATCATTTTTAAAATTAATTTATAAAATAAATATTTTACCACCCCTGAGACTTGACGCCCCCGAACATATGCCTACCCGTGTCCCCTCTAAATACAGGCCTGATTACTGTTATTTTGAAATAATTGACTATTGTCGATCGTTATCACATGACCATACAGCACAAAATTTAGGGAAACCCGTCAATCATAATGTACCATTGTGAATAATATTAAATCGATTACGTATGTTTACTTATTTTTACTTACTGATAATAAGCGACTTACAAACACGCATTATTTTTACGAAGTATTGCCGTCATGGAATTATAAAAATTTAAGTTTTAAGTACCAATACCTTTTAGAACATTTGAAGAATTACAAATTATTACAAATTCAGTTTTCTTAACAACATTTTTTTTTTCTAGTATATTTTAATGGTATTTTAAACAATTCATTTTTTTTAAGGTGCATAAGGTAGGATAACTACGTTTAAAATTAATCATCCATTAATTTCGGGGAGTGTTAGATCCATTGAACCCTCAAAACCCCTCCCTGCGTCTGCCACTGAGTAGAAATATTAGCTGTTAAATTATTAATTTTAATTTTATGGAAATAAATATTTGAATTAGTATCAAACAAAATAATTATTTCCTCTCATTGTCAATCGACGCATTTTTCTATTTTGTTTTTTGACAAGAGCTTTTCAAGGTTTTAAAAATAAATTTTGAATAATACCACGCATATAATATATTTTAGAGTAATTTATATTATATATGATGCTTTTATTTTAGGAAACTGTTTTTCTCTAAGAATTATTTTATAAAGTAGATTTTAGTAAGACATAATTTTATACTTGGTGCGTAAATTCTAATTTTCCAATAAATTTTTATATTACAGTTATGAATTATAAATTGCTGATACTAAAATTATAATAAGTTTACACATTGATAATTTTATACTTTATTATTTGTAAACTTATATAATTTAACCTTATTTATTATCATAGTTTTAATTTTAAAATTATTTCGGTTCCAATAAAAATAGCTTTCTAATTATTATTGATGAAATTATTTAGTCTTCTTTAGGAAACGTAATTTTTTAGTGTGAAATTAACTTGGTTACACTAAAAATTATTTTATATATCATTTTACTCACTATAAAGTAGTGTATAGTTATGTATAGTAAAATAACTACCTAATGGTTTTTAATTTCTTATCTTTTTTTTTATTAATTAAACTTTTAAAATTGAAATTACTTTTTTTGCATAATAAATCTTTATTATAGATAATCTTCTAATTTTAATGGAGTTTACCTGTGTGCATTATACGTATAATCTATACTATTGTTTAATTTTTTTATCGTCAGTAGTATATATTCTTGTATATAATATATTATTATTATTATTATTGTTATAGATATAAACTAATTTCAATAAACATTTAAATAAGTCTAAAATTTTCAACTTAATGAACTACAAAGTTTAATTTGTTAATTATAACTTTTAAATCTTATGTATACATGTTTTTACCAGCAATACATTAAAATCAAATCAAACCGTGGTTGTACAAACATATTTTTGAATAACAATAAGTAATTAGTACTCGATAAATTATTGTTTTGTTTTCTTATGACTTTTCTCGATAAGTTTTCATTCAAGATTAATACATTAAGTTCATATGAACCAATTACATTAGATACGCTTGAAAACCGGTTTTTTTTAACAATAATGAACATATAAGTCATTGATAATATGTATCATAAATTTACATGCACAGTATAAGTGAATCCGATTCTTGGTATAATGGTGCATATAAAAATTGTACTCAATCCAATAATTATTACAAAATTTAGACAATCAATGAATATTTTTTCCGATTATATTAATACTTATCTGAGATAGTTAACCGCAATTGGATGACCTTAAGTTATTATCATATACACGTAAACTAAAATTATAGTTTGTTTTTTCTAACTACTACGCTTTGTAAGCATACATGTGCTTTATGTAGATCAGTGATATCCAACCTTTTTTCCTCAGCAACAATTATCTTAGAGCAGGCCACCAAATATAAAAATACAAATAATATCAATATTAATCTAATAATATTATTTTGTTACACATAGAAGTAGGTAAATATTGAATTTGTTTTCAAATATTTTATTAACTACTGAAAAGATAACAGATTGAGGCACACGCTATAGGTATAAATTAATTTGATCAGTTCGGTATTTTAAGTGCATGGTTTACATCGTCAAATTTCTATTTGAAAAATGTTCGAAAATGAAATTAATACATTTTAAAAAAAATCGTATTTTATAATAATGATAATCTTTTTTTAATATTTTATTTTATTTTAAAAAATTTGCAACGGGCCACATTGAATACCTTCGTGGACCATGGGTTTGGCAATACTGATATAGAATGCAGACTCTAAATTTATCTTTCAAAAATACTTTGAATTAAATTACTATAAATCATGTCTTGTTTAAAAAAAAAACAATAAAATTAAATATTAAAAAAAAAAAAAATATAATTATAATTATGAGAAATAAATAATTCAAAAGTTGTAATTTAGTAAATTAACATTTCCCAGAAATAGTATACTGTCCCTGAAACCATGCCTGGAGTACTAGTAATTCTTTTAGGGTTGAACACCTTTGAATTTAACGCAAATGAAATTGACTACTATTGAACCCATCGCCTCGAGGTTTGTTTAACGAGTGTATGACTTAATGTGGAAGTCGAAAAATTAATAGCATTCGAACAGAGTAAAATGCAATTTCGTTTAAAAGTATTAGTTTCATGAAACAATTATAACAGAAGTTAAAATATTTCAATTGAAATACATAGAGCGCGAAAATTACACGTATTTTGTGGCCATGGTGTTAAAGTTTCACATATTAATAACTAAGTAATAGACTATTTTCTCAAAATGAACACCTTCGCGTTTTTAATTTAATTTTTTTTTTATATATAGTTCCTGAGTCCCAAATCACACTTTATCACGTATACGTATACTGCATGTATATAAGTACACATGTAGATTACTCGAGAATCGCTCTACCGTGTAATTATTATACATAAACAGCGCATTTTCGCTTTTTTTTCTATCGTATTTTGAAGAGTGCTGGTCGTACAAAACCACATTAGATTATGATTCTTATATATTGTCATATTAATTATTAAGGTTATTTTACATAGTATCAATTATATATGATATTCTATCTCATTATTTTCCATATATTCATTTTTTCAGTTCTATAGATTAAAAATGTAAAATACCTGTCAAATATTATGTCAATTAAGCACATACACAAATGGGTTGTAAGTGAAAGTATTTCTATGTTGTTAGACTATACAGATTTACATGACGGATAATAAATAAATTATAAAAATGAGTTTATTTATAAAATGCGATCTCATTCGATCGTTGTCGAAATTTATTATTGAGTATTTATAGTTTATATAGTTTGTATACTTATTGTTTTAAAGAGATACCATTTTTATGAACTTATTTATTATTATTAGGGATATTTTTTTAACTGAATCACTTTTAATTATTATTTTGTTTAACACTTAATTTAAATAGCTAACATGAAATTATTCAATAATAGAAATTAAATTATTATTTAGATATAATTTTAACCGTACAAATAATAAAAAAAAATAAATCACTGGATTAAAAATAAAAACATGTATCCTAATTATTATAATTTATAATATTATAAATATATAAACCTACGAAATATTAAATAATAAATAAAAAGAAGAAATAATTTTAGTAGATAAAAAACAATTTGCTTCTGTACATTTAAAATTTTGCTGGTTCCAATGAATGATGAAACTTATTTCTGAAAGGTTGATACTTATCTTAATCCATTTTTAACTTTAATTCAAAAGTTGGAAATCTAATCATGTATTCGTATGGCAGATACAATTTGGTCAATCAATTTAACACAAGTCATATTGTTACGCAAATTTCTAAAATAATAGTGCAAGTTCGATGTCGTAAACGATTTACATTCAGAAATATTATGAAGTGACGCGTCGACACTTAAAATGAATAATATTCTTAATCCTAATATTAATAAAAAATACACGTTCCACTCTTAAGATACTAAAGGATGATAAAAAGGTTTTACATGCGCTTGTGATCACTGAGTTACATATCATTCGAATTCTCGGGATGAAGTTATAAATCATTTAGATTCTCAAGTGTAAATATACATTGAATACTCATCGAAACTGAGAATTCTGAGTGAAATTATATGTTAGTTACATGAATTCCGTTGAAAAAGATGCAGTTTACAGTGATACTGAATAGCACTCATACTCTGTGATCCAAGAACATGTCTATTAAGTTCTATCCGGATAAAAAGTCAATAACAGTATTACATTATAACTTATAAATAATTTTTAAGAGATAAAAAAGTTTTACAAATTTATTATTGCTAAACGTTTTCTTAATCGTATGATTCAAGATATAGTATAATTGTATGTACACACACACACACACACACACACACACACATATATATATTATCTTAAATGTATAATTATCATTCTAAAAAATACCGTTTTTCGTTAAATGTATAATTAGATTTGTTTTTAACGTGTTACTATTATTTGTTTTATCTTGAGATGGAATTATTTAATTAAAACGTGTAATATATGATTAAACAATATTAGTAAGCAGAACACGTTCTGAATATCCGATTAGGTTATTTTGAATCGTTTAAAAATTAATAGCATCTACTACCCAGTAGAATAATAATATTCCACCATTCTGGGCGATTGAAAAAAAAATGTTTTACTATATTTTACAGTTTGAATGCATTTAATAATCAAAATAATGATTATGTTGTAATCTGCTACAAAATTATTAGTTGATTAGTCCTTTATTAATTATTTAACATCGAGTAACAATTAAAACAAAATTACTTATAAAAAACTAAAATATTGCATACAACTGATTTATTATAAAAATATTTATTGAAAAGCATTTTTTATTTTTGTGTTCCATATGCTAATAAATGTTTGTTTATTCAATTATATTATTATATTATTTAATTATAGGTAACTTCATGGGTGACATAGCTGTACCCGGTGTTGATTACAATGAAAATAATAAAAATGATAGACGGGCGTACTCAGAAAAGGTAGAAAAATATAAAAAAGAAATCAATGAAGGACTTCAAATCGAAGAGGAAGGGATAATGCAAGGGATGAATAAGGCAATCAATGTAGCACAGATTAAGATAAGACACAGGCACAACAATAGGACGAGGAAGAACCATATAAATATTAGAAAAAAAGTAAATCACATGGATAAAATTGCTGTTGAAAATCATTTGAGCAGGTAAAAGTTTATTTTTTATTCTACGTATAAGTTGTAACATAATAACTCGTCTTTAATATTTGATAAAAGGTTAATTTGGTTGAATTAATGCCACGAATGATACTGTAACAATTTATCCTGTGATGTTACAATAGTGATTATTATAATATATATATAAATACAATAATATTATAAAACAGTGGCGATAAGATAATTGTTTTATTTAATGCTCTTAGAATATAAAATTAAAAAAGGATAAGTTATTGATTTTGATATGACTCCTTGTCATCCATAGTAGTTTAAATTGTCGTTTAACGCTTATAAAACGTCTAACATTATAGACATATAGCGTCTTTCGTAATGTTCAGTTTTTATGAATTATGTATTACATTAATACGTATTACATTACAGTAAGATTATTTGCTCCACGAGTACGAGTTAATATTTGAGTTAATATACACATTGGCGTCCATCATCAAAAATACTGGTGACACACGTGAAATTAATGTCTTTCTGCCGCTTGGCAATCGTTATCTTTAGGTCTATAATTAGTAGGGCTTGGATTTTATTGCATTTGCTTGTTTTTTTGGAATGTCTAACACCTATATACTAACTATAATCATACTAACCTATATATATATATATATATGTAGGATAACCTAACCAAGCTGCAAATGTGTTTCAAGTGCTCCATTTTGTAACCTTTTGCGGTATTTTTTGCATTCTTAGTGGATTTTATATTTTCAGAGAATTTTTGAAGTTTTCAATGCCTTTTTTAATTTTTTTAGATACTATTGACTTATTTCTCATATTATGACTAAAAAAATTAATTTCATTGTAATACAAATTTTACTACGTAACAGCTTGACGTAAGTAAAGTGGTGTACCAATCGTCCGGTACGATGCGAAGTATATCACAATAGCACCACACTGGCTTTAATTAGTTGGTGTTGACTGGTCATCCAGGTTGAGGTTTAAGTGTAGAACTAAAAATCGTACTTTATTAAATAAATACTTGTTCAGGATTCGAACAATAATAAGCTTCGGACTAGATTAAGAAAAAAATACTGGATTTTGGAAATAGGATTTAAAATGTAGTATTTGGAATATAAAAACACTGTACAAGCTTGGAGCAGCTGTGGAACTAGTAGGAGATAGGTATATGAAAAAAAATACGTAGTATTACAGGAAGTGAGATCGGAAGATGCGAACACAACAAAAATATCACAAACAATCATCATAAATGGAATTAGCGAATGAGGTGACAAGCTAGGGACCGGTTTCGCCATCTATGAATTATTATACACATATTTAAAGAGTTCAAAGATGTAAGCCCGAGGATCTTTACGTTAAGAATAAAGGATAACGACCTTAATATAATGTTAATCAATGTTCATGTAACGACTATACAGGGAAGATTTTTATGAGAGACTGGAAGAGATATTCGATAGAACGCTGGGAAATTTAAAAATTGTACTAGATGATCTAAATGGAAAAATAGGAAAAAAAGAATACACCAAAAAGTGGTAGAAGTATACAGCCACTAGGAAAACTCCGACGGTAATGGTACAAGACAGATGCACTTTGCATTAGAGAAAGGATTAATAATGAAGAGTATAATATTCCCACGCAGAAATATATACAATTATTCCTGCGTATCGCAGGATGGGAGACACAAGAACCAAATTGATCTTGTTTTCTACAGGTTTAAAAATAAGATAACGTAAGACTATTGCGTGGAGCTGACGCAGATTCGGACCATTTATTAATCGGGATATGGTTAAGAGTAAAATTCTTAAAAGCACAGCTCTGTAATCAGAAATCAACAGTTATAGATATACAGTATGTTCACGCTAAGAGATACCACTAAATATTTCGGTTCGATGACTTTTTATTGAAATGGGGTTTTCAATGAATAACAGATAATACTCAAATACACATTTTTAGAAAATTTTTAAATTTTTAACACTTTCGATTCACGCGATATAACTTACTTTTTTTCAAATGTTAACACCAATTTTTTTTTTTTAAATATTCGGATAGAGTATTTTTTTCTAAACAATTTATGTACAAAAAATGTTTTCTAATTATACATTTGCATATGAAATTTAATGATGAACTTTAATATTTACGATTAATTTTTTTTTGACAAAATTTTAATTAAATTCAACTTATTGTCACTTATAACTATCCAATATTGTTAAATACCTGTTTGCACACAGATAAGATAGTAAAAATAACTTTGACAACATTTTCCAGTAATAAAGGGTAACACGTCAAAATATCCCGGTCAAAATATCCCTAAACCAAAATATCCCCAACAAAATATTCTATGACAAAATATCCTGCGTAAAAATATCCTCGACAAAATATCCCCGACAAAATATAATATAATAACTGTTGCGATTAGAAGTAACAATCGCACTTTATCTAATCTAGTATTATTCATTATTTTGATAATGGTAATATAGTGTGTCATTTTATATCATTACCTAAAGTGCGTGTCGTGAGCATTTAACAGTCTTAAATCAAATTATTTAACTAACATTTTATATTTAATTAAAAAATGCTAGAATTTATTAAAAGCCAAAAAGGCAATAATTTACTAATATTTGAAGGATATTTATTTAGTATACATCAAAAGAGTGAAAAAAAAATAATTTGGCGTTGCACTGATTATAAAAGAAAAAATTGTTTGGCAAGATGTTACACAACCACAGACGACGAATCAGGTTTGTTGATTCATGATTACATTTTAGGACGCGGATATAATAATATATATAATAATAAAATATAAAATTTTTAATATCAGATTTTTAAGTAATATAAAATTGATGACGATTGTAAAACGAATACTGCTCGTACAATTATTCTTAATAGGCCTGGATATAATAATATTATATTGTCATATACGTATTGTCACAATTATTATTAATATTTTTATAAGGGAATTCCTTGGTAAGAGAGGAGATCATGAACACGCTCCAGATGCAGCCGGATTAGAATCAAAGAAGGTAATAGAACGAATAAAAAAAGCTAGTGATTCTAATCAGACAACAAGAAATATTATAAGTGAGGCATTTTCTCAATCACCTTTACCAATTGTAGCTAGGTTACCTTCAACTGTTGCGCTTAGTCGAACAATTCAACGTTCTCGAAATCGAAATAATGTACCTCCGCCCAACCCTGTGACTGTTGATTCTTTAGTAATACCTAGAGAATACACATTAACCTTAAGTAATTTACCTTTTTTGCTATATGACAGTAAAAATAATGAAAATTGGGATATTAATAACAGAATATTGATATTCACAACAAATGAAAATTTAAATATACTGAATGTCTCCGAAATATGGTTCGCAGATGGAACGTTTAAATCTGTACCCAATATATTTTATCAGCTGTATACTATTCACGGTAACATTGACTGCACTGTATATCCACTTATATATATATATATATATTAATGTGTAATAAAAACGAAAATAGTTATTCCGAAGTACTAAATCAAATTAATATACTCAAATCAAATTTACGACCAAAAGCTATTGTGATAGATTTCGAACAAGCATTTATAAAATCATTTAAAGAATTATATACTGATGTTAAAATACATGGATGTTTTTTTCATTTTACCCAGTGCTTATGGCAAAAATTGCAATCGTGTGGATTAAAGAACAGGTATTCCACAGACGCAATATTTGCCCACGAAATAAAAAAATTATCGGCTCTTGCTTTTGTACCTGTTGATAATGTTATTTCTGCATTTGAAGAACTAATTAACTCCAACTACTACGTAGACAATGAAGAAGAATTACGAACATTTGTTGATTATTTTGAGGACACGTGGATTGGGAGACCAACACGTGGTGGTAGGCGAAGAGCGTCTACTTTTCCAATTAAAATATGGAATATGTTTGATTCTGTAACGGAAGACTCTCCCAGGACAAATAATGCAGTAGAAGGATGGCACAGAGCGTTTAATTCTGCACTTGCAGCTAACCATGTAACAGTGTAGAAGTTCATAAATATGTTAAAACGAGAACAAGGTCTGCAGGAGGCCAAAATGGAGCAGCAAACAGCTGGTGCACCTCAACAAAAAAAAAGGCGAAAGTATAAAAATTTGGACGAGCGGTTAATTGCTGTTGTAAAAGGATATGACGAAACCAATAACAATAAATATTTAAAATCAATAGCACATATTTTAGTATAAATTTTTTAATTCATTTTTTGTATTCCGTAAATGTATTAATATCTTTATGTAATTTATATTTTATATTATCATAATAAGTGTAATAATTTTTGACGAAAAAACATACCATTTTAATATATTTTTAAAAATGTCTTGATTTTTGTATTCAGTAAATGTATTAATATCAATGTAACTTGTATAAAAAGGTTTACATTTTTAATTAATAGTTACGTGGGATATTTTGTCGGGGATATTTTTACGCGGGATATTTTGTCATAGAATATTTTGCCGGAGATATTTTGGTTTAAGGATATTTTGACCGGGATATTTTGACGTGGAACCGTAATAAAGATAGTGAATTCTGTTTGTTTTCAATTTATTTATATATAAAATGTTGATAAATTATTTTCGATGACTAATAATAATTTTTTGAATAATTTCAAACTAACCTTGTGACAGTTACTATTCATGTAAAATAGTGTTTTATTTTGATTAGGTATCACATATTTTTCTGAAAAAATTGTTATTGCTTTAATACACTGTTTTACATAAAAGAAATTTATTAAAATGAACAGCAGTGAAAAACTCGAACTTATTTTAATTTTTAGCGAATGTAATCGTAATTTTCGACAAGCAGTTCGGGTGTATGCAGATCAGTACCTACCCAGATAGGTTTCATCCACATCATAATTATGTCCATAGACTTTTATGTGAATTAAATGAAAACGGTCAATTTCCTAACAATTAAAATAGACAACGACAGCTTAGACCAAATAATTTTGATGAAGACACTGAATAGCAGGTAATTGCCTACATACGTACTCATACA